TACAACATCAGCTTCATGATGTGGTCTCCCTAGCAAGACATGTGACCATCTGACACCCTACAAAATATTTACAACATTATTAATTATATTCCTCAAACTGTCTTTCATGTCCCTGTGGCAATATTGTAGTTACGTATTTATGCTGTCTAATCCCTTCCCCTTCTCCCTCATCCCGTCCCCCTCCCTATTTTTCTGTTTTTCAATGCAAAAATGCGTCATGACTTTCCTGACGACCCAGTATATCTTATTGGCTTCATATGTGTGGAGTGTTTTCCTACAAAAGTTTTATTAGCCTATGTAAAATACCTACAATAGGCAGAAAACATTATAAAGTTTATCTTTGCTGTTTCTGGAAGTAAATGGATATAAATCATTCATTTTCAGTGTTTGGCATATTGGCATATATGTTATTTTGAGTGTTTAGTTAGATTTTTAAAATTAGATTTTTCAGTTTTTAGACTTTGATAATCCACATACAATTAAATGAATCCTTTTTGCAAAATCATCATTGAGTGATGTGAAACCAGTTTACCTAGTGTCTTTTTCCCCTTTGGGGAAGAAGCAGTGTAAGAACTAATTTGTCAAGGATTAGAGCTCAGATTTTCCTGTGTTTGTTACATGATGTGCAAAGAAAAAGGTGTGAGTGGATTACTTCAGTCGCAGTCCACTGGGGCAGACGGTGTTCAAAGAAATTGACCTTTGCTTATAAAAATACTCGTAACAATTAACCTTTGGTTTTGTGGCAGTTCTGAGCTGCAATTTTCTATTTATGAAAATGTTTAGGTACCTACTAAACAATTTTAACTGATATTCATAATGGCTCATAAGCATACGTTTCAAGTTCATGCTCTGCCACCTTCTTATTTATTCATCAAAGATTAAACTGCGGCATATATTTATAATGATAGGTGTATGGATTTTATTTTAATGCTTTCTCTTAAACATTTGCCTCAGGTGTGTATTTATAAACTGTATACAGATGTCAGGGTGGGGCGAGAATAGTAGCATTCATCCTGCTTACTGTAGGATATAATACAGTTTACTGCACAGTTTTGGAAAGCAGATGAAACAGTACTTACTCTAGTGTGCTCCAAACTAGAGACTTAAGACTTTTTAGAACGTTTGCTGGTGTTATTGATAAACTGTAGTTCCAAAGGAGATTTAGTAGGTGGCATTTGACTTAGAACTCCAACACTGTCCTAAAGGAAAAAAGAAAAATAATTGGAAATATAGAGTATCCTAAACACATGATAGGTTAATTGGCCTTTAAAAAAAAACAAAGAAAATTTTAAAGAAGCTTGGGAACCTGCCAATCATATCCACTTTCTCATCGTTTTATTATTTCATATGGACATTGTTTTATTGTGTTAAACGCCCTCTCTTTAACATTCCCTTCTCCTTTCCTCTCCCGCCCTCACCATATGAAGCCTCTTGGTGAGAAGAGACGTGGTCCCCAATGCATAGCTTTTGCCCATCTCCCCTTTCCCTTCACGTCACTCAGTACGGTGCAGTAGTTTCTATTTGTAGGGTGGTTGCCTGTTAAATGTTCAGAACTTGGGGGTATTCTCATATTTAGAACTAAAACACAGGAAAAGCCTTTTTATTATACACTTAAAAGAGTAAACTTTTCATGCTTCAAATACAAAAATAATCTGTGTTCTTCTATGAAACAACACAGAGGAATATATGGAAAGTATATTCTGTGCCGTGGAGTAACCAGTGCTAATAGTCTGGTATGTCCTTCCACTTCTTGGCTGGTACGTATGTAATTCTATACTTTCTCCACACATGTCCCCCCTTTTTAACAAAAACCTGAAGATACTGCTGGCCATCTTGGCTACTACCTGAGAGTGAAGCAAGCACAGAGGGGAGCAGATCTGTTTGGAAAAAAGAGAAGGCTCCCTGATGGCATCATTTGAATACCTGAAGCCGGCATCCCTGGAATTAGATGGACCACTAGGTTTTTTTCCCCATTCATTTATTTATTCATCATTCATTCATTTAACACATATTTATGGAGTGTCTATTATATGGTAGTTACCTGAGTTAATGCATTTTTTCCTCCTTCCCTCCTTCCTTTCCTCTTTTTCCTGAAACTAATTTGAAGCAATTTTTCTGTTTTTCTTTGGAACCAAAGAATTCCTGATTAGTAATATGACTTCCAGATTTCAAGTTTGAATATCTGGTTTACAGAGCTAGGAAATCTTAGAGGTGGGGCAGGTTTGGGAGAGGAAAAGTAGATTCACATGTATTATATAAATGTGGGGATCTATGACATATTGATGATAATAGAAGCCAAGGGCAAGAATGAAAGTGCTTAGGAATTGAGAAAGGAGCTCATTTAAACTTAAATTTCTGCATTTAGAAGTTGGGTATAAGAAGATGAGGAGCAGCTGTCAGAGGCAAAAGGAAAACCAAGAGTTCGATATTACAAAGGCCAAAGGAAGAAAGTTTTAAGAAGTGATTGGTGCTTAGACATCAAATAAGCTAAGGATCACTGTTTGTCCAAGGACTTTGGTGACAAAGTGGCGGTGACTATGGTTGGAGGGCAGAAGCTCTGGAAAGTAGAAAGTTTGAGTGGGTTAATTGGTGAGAAGGAGATGAAAAAAGTAGATAACAAGGTAGATGGGTCTTCAAGTTTGGTTGTGATATGGAAAGAGGGCAGAGCTAGAGGGGTCTTGACAACAAAAGAGGTTTTTTTTTTTTTCTTTTCCCCTTCCTTCCCCCCCCCCCCAACATTTCTTTTCTAAGAGGAAAGAGTTGAGCCTCAGTAAATGCTGATGGGGAAGCCTCCATTAGAGAGGAGTTGAAGATACAGAAAAAGGGAATATTGAAAAGTCCAGGATTCCTAAGAAAGGAGAGGGTGGGTTCCACAGTACATGTGGAGGGATTGACCTTGGAAATAGCATCCTTTCCTCTCTTGTAAGAGTACAAAGGGAGGTTAGGTGCAAAGAGAGATACAGATGGGGAGGGGAGAAGGCTCTGATGAGGCTCTGATGACTTGACCAGGCAAGACCATCTGGTTGGGGAGTGAAGATGTGTGGAGGGTGCAGGTTTAAAACTATTGTGAAGGGTCACATGGGAGCTTGGCTAGGGAGAGCGAGTAGAGTCATCGGCATTATTCAGCGAGCAGTTGGTGTCCAGGCTCATGGTTCATCTGCTTGTTCAGGGGATTTTCTCCTGTGGTACTCAGCGATCTGAGGTATGAAGAAGGGGCGCTGTTGCATTCAGTTTTTGCCAGGTGAATCTAAGTACAGAAGGACTAAGGAGATTCAGGATTTTGGCAAAAGTGATTAAAATGATGGCACGTGGAATCTGAGCTGGATTGGAGGCAAAGCAAGAAAGGAGGTGTGAATGATTAGGAAGAATAGAGAGGTGAGGAAGGACCCGTTGATTGATGTTGAAGAATGGTTGTACTGGGCAGGCTTGAGGAAGCCACACGGCGGGTGGCATATGTGGTTTTGGAGGGAGGCGTTCGTCATGGAGAAGTTTCAGATGATGACAGGATGGGAGTGTGCAGGATGCTGAGGTAGAACCTTCCCCAGTCCCCCACCAACTACCCCACTGTAGCTGGAGTCTTTGTAAGAGCTGGAGAAGGACTATAGGTTGAAAACAGCAGTCACCACTTCTTCCTCCCAACCTGGGAGCTCGTCATGGGAGGGGGCCAGCAGACCAAGCGTTGGAAGGCTGCAGTCCCAGAAAGGGGGTGTTTCATTGTTTGGTAGCCAGACCTAGTACTAGCAGGTAACAGACCCAGGTTCTATGTACTTAAAATCTCTTTGCACCCCAGTTTCTTCATTTACAAAGGAAAAGGCCACAAAAGACGGAG